CAGATAAGAGAACAAAAGCTACTATGACATGATGTAGGGCTTTGGCCTCTTTATTTTCTTTTTACAGTCAATTCCACATGTAAACGACTTCATAAATCACTATGGCCCCAGCTATAGCCGGAAGGAGCTGCTGAGGATGGAGCTGGTTATTCTGGACAAACTGCACTGGGACCTTCACACTGGGACACCTCTGGACTTCTTGAATATAGTAAGCGCGAGGCATTTGCAGAGTCTTCTGAGACTCGTGTGTGCCTTTGGAACAGCTGTTCACGACACAGGATGGCAGAGCACAGGCAAGTACATGTCCTTGCGCATGCACCACGGTGAGGTGACCCACGAGGCTCACCACATACGGAAGAGTGAAAAATGTGTGTTAAATCCAACACCATTCCACCAGCCTCGTTTCCAAAGGACATTAAATTAACTTGACAGAGATACTTAGATGGCACTATTATGGTGAGTTTCTTTTTCAATACATACTGCAAAAATATTTAACTTTCCATTCTATGAATTTTATACATAAATATCTATCTGCTTTTGCTACACTTTACACACATTCACTTAGCTGTCTTTATTCACCTACACACAATCCTTATTGAAGCTTTAGACCATATTGATCTGGCACTTAAAAATATATCACACATTAGTTTGTTTTAGTTAGGGGAATGATACCATCCTTAAAGGATGTGATTCTGTTAGTAAGGCAAAATTATGCAATGGAAATGTCATAGGGTTTTGGTCTGTTAAGAAGCGTGAAGATTAAATCACTAAGAACTGTTTCATTGTGAAAACTGGCCTGTTTCAAGCTGATACAAGTAACTTTTCTGCTACCTTGAATAGTATGTTTCTATTTTTCAGAAGGAAACACTTGTCTTAGGTACTTTAGGCTCCTCCTGACCATATCACAAAATAAAGTGTTTTTCCCTCCAGGGCTGAAGCTCAGGTTGGCTCCCCCAGACTGGGAATTGAGCTTCGAGCCCCTTTTGGGACCTTGGACAGAAAAGGAAAAGGATTGGGTCCCACTGAATGCTCCCTGATGAAAACTGAAATTGTTTGCATTTTTGGTCATTGGTAATATGAAAAGTACGGGGTTTTCTGTTCTAACATTAAAAACCATGGTCTCTAGTTCCACGCCCTAGTGATCCTGAGCCAGCCCCGCGTGATGGATCTGCTGCCTCAGACGAAGCCTTCCCGCCACGTCGCGTCCCTGACCAGGCAACTGCAGCACTGTATGGCGGGCCACCAGCTGCTGCAGTTCAAGGGCTCCACACTGGCTTTGGTCATCATCACCTTAGAGTTCGAGAGGCTCAAACCCGGCTGCTGTGATCCTATATCTGATCTGCTAAAGAAAGCACAGGTAGACATCAACTTTGCCCCAGGCCTGCTTCTAACTGTGCCCATTCAGCCAACACTCTAACCCTGCCAGGACCCTTTCTGGCCCATGTGGGCCCCAGAGGATGCTCTGGCCGTGACAGCTCTGCCAAGAGTCCACCTAAGGGCTGGGCGACACACACACACACACACACACACACACACACACACACACGGCCAGTCTATGGACATGAGTGTGGGACATGTGTTCCCCCTCTGGACCAATGGGGGTGGGTTGGTCAGTGTCAGAAACCCCACTTCAGTGACAGCCCTTCTAGCAGGAAGGCTAGGGTGGGGCTCGGGAGCAACCTTCACCTTAATGTGGAGGACTCTGCATTCTGGTCCTGTCTTAGGCTATTTGCACATAGATGGTGGGAGGCAGTCAGAAGCACTGGGGACAGACAGGTCAGGACGGAATGCGTATAATGAGTTCACTGGGGTTGCAGTTGGCTGTACCCGAGACGGTACGTAATGCTCTGAGTGCTTCATGTGAACGTGGTGGCATTTGGCTGCTTCCTCCTCAGAAACTAGGATGGTTCTGCTCTAAGGCTGGCCTGTTTTAACACAGGTCAATATTGAGCAGTACGAACTGTGTAAGGAGCTTGTACAGCAGCACCTGAGAAGTTTGCCGCCATCCTCCCGTGCAGACAACTGACCTCCCTGCCACCCAGCCTCTCTGCCATTACCCCAGTGCCTCAGAGCAGAGTGGAACCCTCCTTGTTTGGACACCGGTGAATCCTTTGGCTTTACTAATCCTGTAAAGAGAAGGGTAGCAGGCCCTAGAAGAGCAATGGAGGCAGCTCCTCAGTCCTCAGAACAGCAGGGGGAGGGGTCAGTAGAGGTAAGGAAGGCCTGACAGACATGACCCTGCCTTCTCGCGCATGGAGAAGCAGGGAGAACAGAGGCAGCTCACACTGTGCTTGCTTTTGCTTCACCCAGGGTTGGTACTGGCCCCTTGAGGAGCTGAAGGGCAGAGGCTGGTCCTCACTGACCTCTAGTTGTACCTGCCAGAGCTGGCTGGGTCCTTCAGCCTCCCAGATCTATCCCAGACATAGGCCTCTGCATTTGTATTTTGAGACAAGGTCTTGCTAAGTTGCCCAGGCAGGGTGGGTGCCAGCTTGTGATCTTCCTGCTCCAGCCTGTTACTCTTAAGCGAAGGCTGACTCTTGGACTAACTAGAGGGATGCCAAACTAATGCATGGGTATCACTGAGCACACGTGTGAAGGACGGGCTTGGTTCCGAAAGCACTTTGTTGAGCTGGGAGCAGGTTCAGAGGTCCTGGCTGCCCCCACTACTGTGCTGAGGAGGAGGTTACTTGCATGGCTGAGGGGAAGGCCAGCTGCCTCTCTGAAGCCACGATACGACTGAACTCTGTGTACTGGAGCCCAGCTGGTAAAGATGCCAGCTGGAGCTGTGTAAATACCATTGGGGACTTAAACCACCTCTAGTGTGTGGCTGTCATTTACGAAGTCTCCCATTGTGTGTGGGGGTGTGGGTTTTTTGTTTTTTGTTTTTTTGGTGAATGTGCTATGCTGTGGAGGTTGGCGTTGCAGCTGAGTGGTCAGGGACCAGCTCTACCATAATCGTGTCTATTTCAGAATCTGTGTAATTTCTACCTTCTCTTGACACAAATCTTACTTTTAGGAATTTACATACAAATAAACTTTGTCAGTAATGCTGTCTGGATCTTATTTTGCAACATGGCTACTGTGCATTGAGACTTGCTGGAGCCAGACATACGGTCCTATCAGTAACCCACATCTAGGCAGATCCTGGAAGACCAGTGAGACAAAGCATAGGGAGCTGACTGCCTGGTGGGCAGGCTGGTGTGCAGACATCCCCTGAAGGTGTAGCTTTACCTAAGGAAGGCAGATGGCAGGGAGGCAAGTGTCTTGAGATACCCCAGGCTGCTCGAGGCCACAGCTGTCCTGCGCCTCCTTCCTCCCGGCGAGGGACACTGTAGCAGGTGGGAAAGGAGCTCACCCTGAAGGCTCACCCCAGCTTGGACTGGGGAGCTGCTGAGCCTTCAGGGCTTCTCAACCCAGTGGCTCCAGACAAACTCAGTACTCAGAGCTGTTCCCACTCAGCTGTGGGGAGAGAAGCGGGCCTGTGTGCCCCACACTGAGATAAGGGACAGCCTTTCTTGCCGTGCCTTTCTGCAAATGCTGCACCTTTCATTCGGGGCATCCGGCAACCCATTCTCCTTCTGCCCTCACCTCCAGAGGATAGGGATTGATGTCTGAGTCCAAAGAAGACGCAAATGGGCAGGCTGAGTCAGAGAACACCACGGGCTTTCCTTAAACTTGTCCATCCCCAGATGGGCGAGTCGAGTTGTGTGATGCTGCTCCTACAAGAGGGAGGCCCTGCTCCTTCCTCAAAGCTTAACACAAACTTTGCCTCCCATAGGTAGAGGTGAGCTACACCTCACCGAGGCTGTCTGAGTACCAGTCATCCTGCTCCGCTCTCAGCTCCCCAACCTCATGTTTTCCTTTTTTTTTTTTTTTTTTTTT